TTGTGGATGTTTGTTTTCTTCCTTGTACCTACGTAATACACTTGATTTTACTTCTTGGCCTGTAAGGCCAAAATATTTACTATCTGGCCCTTTAAGAAAAAACTTACAGACCCTTATTTTAAAGGATTACTCTCTGTACCGTGTTGACGAGTGATCATTAGCGGAGTCTGAGGAAAGCAGAGGGACCTGTTGTGACAATAGTGTATTAGTCCAGGTAAGAGATGGGATGGTAATAGCTCGGACCAGGCGTTAGCCATGGGCTTGGTGACAAGTGGTTGGATTCTGAAGGTGGACTCAATGGGATATCCTGACAGATGGGATGTGGTGTGTCGGAATGAGAAAACAACTCCAGGCACATCAACCTAAAGGGCCCAAGGTGAGGGGATGAAATTGCCCTCACCTAAAAAGACTGCTGAAGATGGGCTATTTGGAGAAGGAAGATCAGGAGTTCCTGCTTAGATGTGTTACAAGTGCCATGTCTTGGTGAGTGGCGGGTGGGGGAAGCCTGGGCTAGAGAGAGAAATTTGGAAATTGCACATGACATTTAGAGGCAAGAAACTGGATGAGCTCGCTAGGAAAGAGGTGCTTACATTTTCTATTTATTTCATTAAAATAAAAAAGCTAAAACAGGCCCACTAAATTGATTTCATGATCCAGTGAGACTTGTAGTTTGAAAAACAATGTCTGAAGAGAGCTATAAGATCTGTGGGTTGCCTTTACTGAGTTTCCAAAAATGATGAAAGCTTCGAGCAATATGCAGTTTTTCTGAGATAAGTTCATAGTGCCATAAGTCAGACTGTTTAAGTGCCCTGAGATGTTATATTCCTTCAAGAATAGAAATCAAAGAAGCCCTGACTTCCCACATCAGACTCAAACTTCCAAATCCAACTGCCTACTTGAGACTCGCAAAGATACTTGCAATGTAGCATCTCCAAAACCAAATTCTGATGCTGCTCCCAAGGTTCGATCCCCTCCCAGTGGTCCCTATCGCAGTGAATTGCAGTGCCAGATGTTCACTTCCTAAAGCTAAAAACATCAGGGGCAAACTTTATTAAAAACTGAACTATAGTTCTTCCCTCTCCACACACACACACCTTTATGAGATCCTCTTTTGTGATCCCTTAGTGAATCGCAACACCATCTGTCCACGTGCTAGCTGATAGCATCTGTATGCTTGTTTGTGACTTTTTAGTGTCACTTGCCTTTCTCTTATTATCTTAGAAACACCCTGTCCCGGACAAAACACACCCACTGCCATCAAGGCCATCTCGACGTAATTGTAAGGACAAGAAGAAGCCTAGATAGGGTTTCTGAAGTTGTGAATCTTTACAGGAATAAGTCTTTCTTTTTCTCCCTCGGAACAACTAGTGGGTTTGAACTGCAGACCTTGTGGTTAGCAGCCCAATGCTTTGTCAGCATCTACAAAATGTATATAACCATAGGTGGATAACCCTTTGCTGTATGAGGGAGCTTCCAAAAGTTTGTGAAAAAACTCCTGTATCCTTCAATATTTTTCCGTGAACTCTTGAAGCCCCCTCATATATATTATTAATTTTTCTCCTATCTTGTTTATCTTTTATGGCTCCTAGTTATATATGTCTTATTTAAGGGAGTCTGTGCTACCCCAGAATTATAAAAAATACTGTTTTTCCTCCTAGCATTTTAATACAGTGTTATGTCTTACTTCCGTCTCTAAATTCATCTGGACTTTTATTTTTATGTGTGACATGAATAGGGAGTATTCTAACTCTTTCTGTCTCAGATGGACCCTTTCTCCGTGGCATTGATTGAATGGTTCATCCTTTCTGCACTGCTTCAAAATGCCACATTTATTAAAAATTAAATTCCCACTTATCCATAAATCTGTTTCTAGACTATTTCTATGCCAAAAATGAAAGGATTTAAATTACTGTGATTTTATAGTATCGTATTAGAATTATAAGTATAGAATTATAAGCCCAGCACAAATTAAGAAATTTATAGGCTATGAAGCCAGAGTGTCCAAAAGCATCTATTTTCAGGCTGGGTTGTATCCAAGGCTGCAAATAATGTCATGTGGACTCTTATCAATTCATCTCGCAGATATAATTTATCTACCTGGTAGACACTAACCATTGGCAGCCCCAGGCCCATGCTGGTAACTTAATTACCCCAGGAACAGAAGACTAACATCTCCAGTAGTTTTAGCAGAAAAGTTTCAAGTTGAACTTTGATGAACCTCGCAAGGTCACACACTCATCCTTAACCCAAAGGTATGGAATTCCTGTAGCGGACCAGAAATATCACATGCCCAAATCTAGTGGGAAAGTGGTCAGCCACACTCCACCCACCTGGAATAGCTTCCCCACTGAGATTTTATTATCAGAAGTAGGAAGAAAACAAGTCCCTAATAAAAATGTGGTTTTCCTGTCATATTAGGCCAATTTTCATCCAACCTGAATGCTTTTAAAAAAAATAGCT